ATACACACACACACACACACACACAACACACCCACACACACACACACACACACACACACACACACCCATCATTACTATAAGTTATAACATTTTGCTCATCACTTTCATTGCTGATGTCTGGGGATGTTGAGGATACAGTAGCTGGTAAATCTTCATGAATTCATACAGTCACACAGTCTGACAAAAATACGTCTCAATTTGTTGTGTGACGTGTGTTGTACCCTCTGTTTCCTGTGCCAGTGGAGCTGAGGTCCAGCTGCTGGAGTCTTCTACACCCCAGAGCCAGAGACTGAACTCCTGCATCTGTCACTGCCTTACAGCCGCTCACATCCAGGGATCTGACACACAAACGCACACTCTGACTGTCAAGATATCAAAACCACATTAGTTATACCTACCAACCAAAACTTGACACATATAACGCAACTAAAAACCCAGAAAAATGCTATTTGTGTCTCAAGGGAATTCATGTAAATCATTTTCCTTACAAGTATGGTAGCATTAGTGTGTGTGTGTGTGTGTACCTAATACAAGCTGTGTATTTGCTGATGCTGTGCAGTGTCTGGTCAGTGACTCCAGGACAGGAACTGAATGTCAAACTCTGAAGTTTGACACAGTTCTGAAGCAGCATGTCCACTGTGGCATCAGTAACCTGTTACAGTAAAAACAGAGAAGGACATCTAAATCTTCGGACTTTGCACCGGAAAATTCACAACTAAAATTTCTCCGTCATACAAAGTTTAGAATTTAACATTTCTGGAAATTTGAGTGACAAAATGTGAACCTCACCGCCTGTAGTCCAGTGAGATTTAGTGAAATGAGACATTTGAGCTGTGATGTCAACACTGTGAGACTGTGTGCGTTGACTTTTGGCACCTGTCCGATGTTGAGATGCTGGAGGCCAGGACACATCTGGAACACAGAAACTGAAAAACTGTACACGTATAGTGGAAAACATATAGTGTTGTTATATACAGAGGAAATGAGACATCAGGCAAAGGGACCGTGCAACGAGTATGTTCACATGCCAAAGCATGTTTGAGACATATTTTAGATGATTAATTTTCCAAATAAAGTACCTCATATACAGTCTGTAAACAGGATGGAGTGAGGAACTGACAGCCAAACACCTCCAATCTGTACAGACTGATGGGAAAAAACACTCAAAACAGATTCAAACTGAAAATGCATCCACATCCTGATTATATCTAGATGGCCTATCCACTAAAAAGGCTGGTGAAAAAGCAAACAGACACATGTAAATGCTTTATGATACATCTTGACATGCTCAAACACTATCACACAAGCTATAGTAACTTAATGTTTTTATAATACTTAAATACACTTACGCACCTTTCTTTGTGTCTCATGACAAGTTTTATTAGGGGGTCATCAGTGACATGACAGCCGTTCAGGACAACAGATTTAAGTCGCAACCTACATGAAAGATAAATAAAGGATTAAAGCCCCATTATGTAACATTTCTATTAAAATACTTAAAATCATTTTGAGGCAACACTGGCTTGTTGGGTGAATGGTGCCTCTGTCATTCCCACTCTGCACCCCATAGGTCTGTTCTTGCACTCTGTAACTTTAGTCTTCAGGTCAGGACAAGTGAAAAAGTAATATAATCATGTGTGCCGCTGTAAAGCATATTTATGACAAACAGGTGCCAAATTTCAACAAATAACAAATCTTATGTAGTGTTGCTTTAATGCTGAACAGCAATCTGACACATTAGTTGTCCAGTGCAGCATGAGGGAGTTTAAGCTACATCCTGTCATCCAGATATTTTATATGGTGGATATTTATGTAGCTTGGGAGGTTTTGATGACAGACACTGATTCATAAAAAGAGGAAACTTAAACATGTTATTGCTGATGATTTAAAAAAGTGCATGTTTTAAATAATTCAATGACATTTTAAGTCTAAGACATAACATCATCTGAGTCCTGTGTGTGTGTTTATGTGATTGTGAAACTCACCCTGCGCAGCAGTCACTCAGAGCTTTCACTCCTGTGTCTGTCGCTCCACTCCAGCTCACATCAACACTGGTCACATGATCACACCACTGACCAATCAGAGGCAGCATCTGGTCCCCGTGGAGACTAGGACCAGTACAACTTGTGACCTGTAGTTCCTGTGAGTAACAAATGGCATGATAAATTAACTGTTACAGAGGCATACAGAGGTGAAAGAGATTAATTCCTTGTGATATATGGTAAGTTATTATAATAAATTGAAGTCACAGCAGAGCAAAATGCTGAAAATGTTAATAAAATTTGCAGATTTCAAGGTTTGTACTGTATATTGGATCATTTTAAAATGTATTTTGAACCTATTGCATAAGAGGAAAATTTAAAAATGCGACAAAAAGAAAGATTTTCATATGTTTTGTTGACATTGACAGCAGGCAGATGGATTCAGGATATAGGGTCAATAAATTCAGTGTCAATAAAAAAAATAATAAAAGGCAGAAGATTCACTTTAATATTTTTGCCTTCCAAGTGGAGGATCTTTCACATAACACACAGACAGCACAGTGGCTTATTGATTAGGAAGATCTAATCCTATAACTCGAAGGCCACACTGTAAAGTCATGGGACGAAGCTTTCATCAAACGTCCTTTTCTTAACAGCTTTCCTTTAGCTGCTTCTCATCCTACACGCCTGCTCTGAGCGATCCATAAAGTAAATTACAAATCTCTTGACTTTAATCGACGGGTTCTGATTCACTGTTTTACCTCCAGAGTTTTTCTGCACAGAGAGAAAAACATCTCCAGCCCACAGGAGGTGAGAGACAGGCCACTGCAGCTGTACAGACACAGACTGCGAGGACGACGTCTGCTCACACAGAGTAACCACTGCTCCGCCAGGTTGGAGTTTTCAACCCTCAGATCTTTCCCTTCAGAAAGAGAAAGGATTTAGTGTTCAGTGTATAGAGACCTGTTGTGGGCAATTCAATGACCTACAGTGTGTGTACAGGTATGAGAGCATATGATGGTGCAGGTCTGGGTTATCTATCTGTATGTTTGTCCAGGGAGTGGTACAGTACACCACAGCACTGGAAGTACTTACATCATGGGAACAACACCATGTGCTGTGACACACACACACACAC